AGGAACAAATGCACATGCAACACAATACAAAATGTCATATCATATCAAGTAGTTATCACACACTTTTGTGTTGCAACATATCAAGAGAAAAGTAATTCAACAATTCGGGGATTCAGCAAATCTAATACAAATATATAGCAATATTGCGCCCCCATCGAATACTTGTGTGAAATTGTAAAGAAGAATGCCTTTTATCTTTAAAAGTTGTATACATTTCACATACTACAAATATATATAAAAAATACAATATATTTCTTGCAGTCAATATTAAGTTTTTGCAAACTCCAAAGAAAATACCAGCTTATAAAAGTCCACATACATGCCTTACATGCCTTTCATTCCTAACTTTTCTATACAAAAGAGCAAAACAATACAATAAAATATACAAACTGAAACGTCTATACCCTTACAAAGAAATAATAAGTGACTTCAATGAATGGTTTATAACGGTTAGATAGACAGATTTAGATAAATTTATTTCGGCAAAGGAAGCATATACATAGTTGACACTATAACATAGGATAAAATAATGAGCATTATTAAATATATCACATACGAGAAAACTATGACATGCTCACCAAAACCAAGGATAACACAAAAAAGCTCTTATTTCCATTGTCGTCCTTTGTATTGGCGGCATGAACATAGAGAGGCAGACCTAAATATAATCATGTTTAAAATACTAATAAATCATAAAAATGTATATCACAGTCAAATCTTGAGTTAATGATACTCCTGTTTACAGCTAGGATTTAAAACACATTACTAAAATTGTAAAAAGATAATTAGCAGACAATTTAAAATCCTGAGCCGAAATATGTAAAAACATAGTAAAAAATTAAATACTGTTCATAAGATGACTTTTGATGGCAACCTTAAAACTTTGTAACCTGTTGATCTCCGTTAATTCTACAGGTAAATCATTCCATAATTTAATACCAGAGAAAGCAAAGGATTTAGAAACCTAACCTTTGACCTTAGGTAGACAATACCCACCCTTTTGACTAAGTCTTGTACTATAATTATGTACGGAATCTTGCGAAATAAAGTGTTCAGACATGTAATCCGGTTACAGTTCTCAGCTGCATAAGATTTCCTAAAACCAGTCGCTGTTATCAGGTTGATATTTACTTAAATACTGTATGCTTCTGCAAACCATAAAATGCCATTTTCTATAAATGCTAATCATAAAAAAAGGAAATCAATGGAAACTGATACGTCATCTTTAACAATATTTGACAAACGACTTTCTGGTTTTATATTAAAATCTATTACATGATTTAACTTCATTTGTGCAATTTTTCAATTAACTATACAATTTAATCATTTAGATCAGAATTTTGAGAAAACATTTATCATTACGCCTATTTATTTCTTTACATAAATTTACAACATCAGATATTTCATTTGGTTGCGACCGCATTTATAGATTTGATTGGAAAAATTCTAACTAACATTCCTTAAGAAGTTTCAAAATACATATCAACCATGCTTGGATGAAACTAGCTTTACATTTACATTTCATAAATATATCATTCGTCGATTTCGATGTAAAGTTCTATTTTATTATTAATAACTAAATGTTCTCTGTACGTTGTTCTTACATTGTGAGAATATCCTTACCTTAGCGGACAATATTTTTATATGTATTAAATACAACTTGCTTTATTCAAGACAGGAAAAGTGTAGGAAGTTTATCATTTTGTCATTTGCTCCATATTGTGACTTTTCCGCTACCCAGTTCTTGGCTCTCTGCATGCTCTGTTCCCCAATCGGATACGAATTTTTTAAAACTGTATATTGCGGAAGAATGAATTTTTTAACCAGAATGATCGCTATTCCTCCTTGTTCATAAATCTGTTTAACTTATATTTGCCTTGATTGCTAGAAAAACAATATCTGACAATATCTGACAATGTGTGCTATATCATCGATGCAGATTGGTAAGTAGTTTAAAGCGTTAAATTTATTTGCTTAGAATTCCACTCGCGGTAGATATTTTCTAGAACAAAATTCGTCTTTCTGTAACTAATTTGAAATGTTCGTAAAACATTTTTAATCAAATAGTTCGTTTTATTTTTCTATAACGTGCGTAATATATCAAACACCATATGAATAAATGTATATGTCCCAAACACGTTCGTTTTTTAACTATGGATGTATTAATCAAAATGTGTCTTTCTTAAACTTTAGTTAACTCCAAGGTAGTGCATATACACTGTTATTCGTGTCCTTTGAATTCATCTAAATTTTCATCATTTATCGCCCCTTGATACCAATGTATATTTAGTGTGAAAATAAAGAAATGATACTTTGATAAAATTTCAAAGAGATGGCAAATTTTGACACAACGTACGCTGAAAAATATTGAATCCACTATATTTGAATGTTAATGTACTTTTAGTGATTTTTTATAAGTAAAGAGTTTCATTAAGATTACAGACATTAATGGATAAATCAATTGAATATTTGTTTGTTGAATGTTCTTGCTTATCGCATTTTTACATGAAAAGGCAGCAACAGGAAGCGGAAATTAATATTGTAACCACTTATGATTTTGAAGTGAAATTTAATTCAATTATAATAAATGTTTTAAAAATTATAATTCTTATAATTCACAACTTTATTTGATGTACTCTTTATTTTTGTACAGAAGAATGCAAATTGTACGTTATGTTACTCCTACAAAATCGCTAATTTCTCTTGTTGAATTTAAAATTGAATTAAAACAGATTTCATTTGATACGCAACATTAATTATTTTGACATAAAATGCTTCTGTTATTCGACAAATCGTGATGTGTGTTTAAATCTAGCACAAGATGTTATAATAAGTTCTTTCTAATTGATGAAATATTAAGAGACTAGCTTACACTAACTCGTTAGGAAATCTCCAAGAAACAAACAAAAATCACCTTAAGTTTGTGTATGAAATTTAATAAATACAAATATCAAAACAATCTTTCTATTCGAATTTAGTTATGTGTTTTATAAAAAATACGCAAGTTGGAATACATCTTTTCTGTCTTGAATTTAAATAAATTGAATCATTTCTTTTGCTTATAATGAACCGTTCTCCAAAATATTCGTTTATCATGGCGGGAACCAAAGATCAAATACCTGTTCATAACACATAACAGATACAAAATACAGAAATACACAATTATCTAAAGATCTAGATTAATTAAGAAAAAAGATACCATGTCAAGTCTGTTGCAGCAACATAATGTCTAAAAGGCTGTATAAAATGTTTGTTTACATCATGCATGTATAAAAGGTAAAGGTCTTGTTTATTTTTGAGATAATCACTGATTATGTTAAGTAGATATTTTGGCCCGAGCATTGTGATGACATTAGAATACATTATGAAATTAGCAACAAAATATTGCTGTAAAAATCTACCGATGACATTCCTCTTCGTTAAGATAATAAATGACTATGAAATATAAATATATTGGACTTTGATTTGTGGTGATTAACAGGGCATAATATTCCACATGATTACTAATTGTTTTATCCAAAATAGCAACAAATGTCAAAAATAGAAAACCCTTAATATTTATTCAGTCTATGTCAAAAAGAATCTCTTCTTTGCTTACATGGATCAGACATGTCTGACAAGCATACTCGCAGTTGAACTTCTGCATATCAGATACATAATCCTTATATGTATGGTAATATTGCAGTCAGCCTAAAGAATTATCGTTTCAGCAACACGATCTGATACTGTGCCTTTCCTTTGCATATTCTTAAGACAATCTATCGCACTTGATTGCATTCTTCCAGTTCAACATTCAAGTTGCGTTCATTGAACACCGCCCTTCCTTGTTGATCTTGTTTTTCATATTACCTCCCCTATTTATATAGTCTGATAATGAATGTATGCTACAGGGTAATGATTTGAAAAATATGAAAAATGAATTGTACGCAAATCTTGATTTATTTATATCTTATATAAAGTATGATTAGAAAGTAATCAAAATTATATATATTATTTCATACTCGTTATAATCAAAATCATTATTGACATTGAATATATAATCATCATAATAATTATCATCATCATCATCATCATCATCATCATCATCATCAAGTCTATCATCATAATGTTAAAAATCATCATAATCAACCAAACCATTTTCATTACTATTAATAACTGTAATAATAAAAATGATATATAGTTGTCTGTAAATGATGAAAAGCCGATTTTAATTTCAAAGTTCTTCCTACATTTGATCTGCCATCAAATTCAATATTTGATAAAGAGAGCCTTTTATTGTTCAGTTGATTAAATACATTTTTTACAAGAGACATAAATGCCTGACGCCATGATGATTAGAACAGATCGTAATATGGAACCTTCAACGAATGTTTTTTGTTTCCATCTTGTTTATCTTATCCTTATATCTTAAACTTTTTCATGATTATCTCCACAGCTGGTTCGATTTCAGTACCAGTTGTATTCTTGTTAATCAGCAAGCAAGATAAAGGTTTTGAAGTTTAGAATTGTAAGCTTCTCAGTGTTTTGAAATGAATGTGATGACGTAAGATTTATTATTGCGTCCTTTATAAAACTAATTAATATAAGAATAACATTGTTTTTGAACGCGTATTTACTCATTTTCTCTAACCAAAGCAAAGCATTATGATTTTTCTGACGAATTAATCAAAGTTGTCTAAATACATTAAGTCACAAAACGTACCAAATACTCTTATAAAAATAAAGTACATACAAATATACGATTTGTTTACGTGTTTAAGTTTGGACTTTCCTAATGAGGTCACTTCAAAGGACATTAATTGTCGAGTGGCGATTGAGACATTTTCACGGAACTAACTTGACGGCTAAAAACAGCTTAATTACGCTAGCATTTGCAATAAAAGTGACAACCCATTAACGAATCTATACATTCTGGCGGCGGACTCAAAAATCATACACCCAGTTACTTACAAATAAAGCCTTAATGAAGATTGTTATCTTATACATTAAATGCGACTCGACTGGACAGAACGAAATAAGATTTATCGACAAACGGTGCCAATGCTCTTGTTACCTCAACACAATTTAGATAATGACTTGTTTGTGAAAACAGCCTTACACTGATAATTGCAGCAACTGTGAGCAGCTGCTGAAACGATACTCAACTGCAGATATGGCTATCTTTAACGACAGTTTTACTGAAAAATTTAATGAAAGTGTATTTTCAAAAATAGTGAATTCAACTACAACCGAAAACGTTAGATCGTTTTACAGTTCTGAAAGTACTTTTATAGGAAATAGTACTGACAAAACAAATGGTTATGTTGATTATTACAGTAATTATACATATTATGAATATGAAACTCCTAGCGTTCAATTATTAAAACAACCTCCTCACTTAATTGCAGTGTATTCAATTGCATATGGATTAGTGTTTATTTGTGGATTAATCGGAAATAGTTCGGTGATTGCTGTGATAATTAAAGAACCAAGCATGAGGAATGTTACAAATTATTTCATTCTGAATTTATCGGTGGCAGATATACTTGTTTCGCTATTGGTGGTACCAATCACGTTACTTACAAATCTATTTACAGGTTGGTTGATTTTATGTCACTATTATTTAAAACAGAACTGTGTCTGTTTCACGCTTTAACTACCCTTCCATCACAAATAAAAATATTGTTACATATATAAACCATTTGCTTTTTTATCATGATAAAAGTTGAGACGCTCTCTTTAACCTGACATAATGATAAAGATTAATGACTTTAAAACAATGGTAATGAATTCGAATTAGTTTCTTATTAAGTATGAGAATATTTCTCATACACAAGTATTTTAACGAACGACGATTGTCAGATTTTATGTCTTATAAACGTAATGAAATGAATACAATGTTATGGAAATAATCAGTCTACTATTAAGTTGTTGTTTTGTGACTGAAAAACAAATGTAAACATGTTCAATCACGGTATGATAAAAAGTGATAAGAAGATTAAAAATGTCCTTTTCATGAACACATTGTGACATTAGAGATATATGATAGGTCCTACTTTTTCTGTCCGCTTCCTTGTTATAAATTATAATGTTTTATTGTTCAAAGAACATATGCATGCAGTGATAACAAAAATGATGCAGTCATCAATATCAGTGTCAAATTCAAGCCTGGCATTTTACATTTTTGGAAATGAATGGTTTGTTATTTGCTAAAATGTTCTAAAATAAAACGATACACTGAAACAGACGCACTCATTTGCATGTGTCAGCATTTCAGAATATGAGATGAGCTATTAGAATGCGTTGATAATTTATTACGTTGGTAATTGAACTGCCTTAAGACAAATTGCACAAATGTCATTTTCCACTTTACTTTCCAAGAAGGTATCAAAATATGAGCCACTTAACTCAACTTTGAAGACAAGCTAATTATATTTTGTCGTTCTCTGTTTGTTTGTTTGTTTGTTTGTATGATTGTATGATTGTATGTTTGTTTGTTTTATGTTGTTTATTCAAATGAGATATAGACAGCTTTACATAAAATGTTGTTTTACCAGTGAATAGCTCCTCAAGCAATGTAAAAGTATGAACGGTAAGTATTTAAACATTGTATTTTGTCAGGATTTCCCCTAATCATATTTTATATAAACTATACAACCATCGCCACGTGTATCTCATATTTTAAAAATATTACCTGGCTTTTTTCGAATTAAATATTACACTTTATTATCACTTTTGTATAAGAATATGTGAACGTTGTGCTGCTTGTGCACTTTGACATTATAATGCATTTTGAAAGTAATATAGAAAATCTGAAGTATCGAGTTATAACAACGAAAATGAATTGTAAGTAATAAGATGTTTAAAAAAGGTTTTCACTGATTTAACCGATATCCGAGTTGTTTTTTTGCTGGACTTTGTCTTATATAACAAAATCGTTTTAACAAGCTAAAATTATATAATCTTTACAAGACCAAAACTTCTTAAGTTATTTATTTGATTTATGAGAAAAATATTACATGCTATACTACTTTAAACCTTTATTTGTTACAAAAAAACAGTAATATCTACTTTTGTAAATTGCGTGACAAATCTAGAACGCCATGGCCATTTATAGATAATGCTTAGCTACATGTAAGCATTTACAAATCTTTTAAGATTTGATTTTTCTTATTTGATAAGATTTTGTCTTCTTGTTGTTTTATGTCAAGATGTCTATCATCTTATGTATCTATAATGTATCAGTGCCTGGAAAAAAGACAAAAGATTCAAAATTTGACACAAATAAATATGCATTTTTCCCTTTACGTAACAGAAAAGCACTGTGTCAAACTGAACTATTTTTTATTGTTGATCTTGAATAAGATTGATTTTTCTACTGATTTTCTACTGACAAAAAAGTGTTTAAAATGTTATCCATATCGTTTATTTTGCTTTATTGGTAAAAATGTTGCAGTAAATGATGAAAGTTGATGGTAGTTAATAATAAATTGTGACTTGGGGATACACTTTATGAGCTAATTTTGTTAATCTAAAAAAACTAAATAAACATGTGTACAGATGTATTTCGACAAAGATCGATTAGACATGCACTTACGAGCATAATTTTTTATATGTATGGAACAATTACTTACGGTTTCTGCATATGCATTTAAATTTGCATATCTGCTGAGAAATCCAATTATTATATACACTTATTGTTGAAATTTTGATGAAAATTCTTTAAATTTGAATTTTAATTAATAAGTTCTGCCATAAATCCATAATTGAGCGCAATACTGACATCTACAAGATTCGTACACAGCTGTAAAACATAAAGTGAATGGATATCTTGCTGATTCCGAAAAAGGTTTTGCAGTTGAATAAAAAAGAATCAATTTTATGACTTTTTTTAATTAGTCTCACAAGTCTGGAAGATGTCTGGAGATCCCTGAAGCGCAATAAATACAAAGTTTAGACTCGGTTTTATTGAATCTATGCGAAAGAGATAATAAAAAGAAGTGCAATATCTTACACACATTTGCGCCGGCTAAAATTATATTTAATCGACACCGCAACAAATTAGAATCCCGGAACAATATTAAATGAATTAAATACTTTATGGTATACATACGATTTTACAAGTCCTCGTTTAAGATTTAAATGCAACAATGACAAGTTATTATCATTTACAATTACACCGTTAAGTTTGGAAAATGAAGTTTATTAAATGTGTGTATGTGTATAAGTATGTAACATATATTTAAGAAGAAATGAACAGAACAACCTTTCGATTCTTGATTTAATCGCTTGTACCTATCGTTAATGTACAACTAACATATTTATAAAATACTAACATATTCTGCTGATAAGAAATTGTAAGTGAAATACATGATAAACGGATTAATTCTATGATCTAATTTATTTAAGCATGCTTTGGTAAAGACTGAAATGTACACATTTTCCTATAATTTTGACATCAATAAATTATTTAAGTTACGTAGTTTCTGCAGAGACTGGGATGGTTTCAGTTTTATACTGATTGTCTTTAAACTTGCACTGATTACATTTTATCCATTAATTTACTAGCGTGCGGGAAACACCAAATACAAATGAGTTATTTTTGTATCATGTTTGATATAAATGATTAAGCCGAAACGTCGTTAATATCTTTTGACGCTGCAGCAACAGCTTATTTCTTTTCTCAGTCAAAATCATAATTGAATAATGCTTTCTACGATTATGGCGATGATTAGTTTCAAGACATAACTTTAGTTAATTTTTGTTCATTATTTCTTACTCAGACAATTTATTTGAATGAATACTTCATTGTACAAGAATATCAGGAAGAATCATTGATGATACACCGTTCGGAAGATTTCTAGTATCATATTCATGTATGACATTACCATCTTTGGATGCTTGTAACTGAGCAATATTTTCTTTTACAATTACAATTATTACATATTGCGCTTATTGTGATACATGTTATTTGCCATATTAAACATTGAATATAAACAAATGAAACAATAAAAGGATACATTTGATCAAATAGACTTACAACAGTCGCACCACATAAAGCGATGGTTTGAAACCCACTTTATTTTCTTCCGCGTAACTTGTAAAATTGTTATCGTCTAGCGTATCAGAGAGAGTAATTTCGTTAACACAGTCAGGTAAATGTTTTATTATGTTGATTTGAAAATATTTAATGGTGCCAAAATTTGGAAGAATAAAGCAGGCTGGAGCTTGTTAGGGAAGTAGATAATTGACCCAAAACGCTCATTAGGCTTTCTTATTACATAAATGTTTCACCTGCTATGAGTATATTAAAGAAGATAGATTTGCTTTAATTAATATTTCAGACGTTTTGACGGTTTTCATTTCAGATTAGAATTATTCCAATAACAAACGTCGAAATTGAAAATAAATTTCTTTAATATTTAAAACTTTATATTTAATATTTTAAATTTCATTTTCAATGTTTAATTGCTATATGAAAAGAAAATATATCTCCATGCTGAACTTGCTTCCATTTTGATACTTCCTAATTCATGGACTATCGATTGAAGTAAGAAACAAACCTAATTTCCCGTTGTTTATATCAAAATTGTACTATAAAAACAACAACAATCAATAACACCTTCCGGAGGGTAATGAGATAATGGTTTCGCTTTTGCTTTGCACACATATAAACATGATTCCAGACACAGTATGTGAAATAATTAGTTTAACGCATCGAGGAGTCTGAAGCCCGATGTTTTCAAATTATTCCGGCAAAAAATAAAGCCAGCACTCAAGCAGAAACATTTCAAGGTTTCACTGCCTAGTAAATAACGAAAGAAGTATATTTTATGAATTATGATGTATCGAAACGTATTAGTATAAAATATGATGAAAATAAAAAATAATGTAATAAAAAACATTCAAACTGGAACGAGTATTACGCATAAAGTATAGTTCTTCATTTGAATGTTAAACAAATTGTATCCGATTCAATATTGCAAATCGAACGCCTTTTAAAAAATGAAGAAGACGAAAACAACACAACAATTAATTTTTACACGATTCAGTCGTTCAGAACTAATTCTTTACTTAATTTTTCTAAAGAGTGCATATCTTCTAGTAATGTCATGTGACATGACAGTTCTTGAAACAGTTATCATAGTCTTATTAAAATATACTCATCTGATACATTAATGTATGTGATAATATTGTTTGAAACTATAACCCCATTAGCATACATATTGGATATAAAAGGCAATGTTTCAGAAGAAGAGGCTCGTTAACCTGGGGTTATGTATTCGATAATCATGAATATTCCACCAAGAGTCTGGGGGTATTTCTCGCATATGCATTTATTTAAGATAAATGCATTAATATTTAATAGCACAAAGTAAATTGTTATATTGAATATTTTAATATAAAAAGCTTATTACCTAACCAAGCAAATGCATGCAATATAATCAAATATTATTTAAAGTAGATCCCAGTCGTTAACATGCCAAGCAAACACTTTTGCCGGGGAGAAAAATAATTTACATCGGGCAGAATCATGATTGTTCTATCATTCTGTGTTCTCGTCATATAATTTTCGTTATAAAATATAACTTAAAAA